TTGTCCACACACTGATGTAACTGCTCCATAAAAATAATTTATTGCTGCAATATTTCGACCATCAGGTCTTCGTCAGACACAAATTACGTGAACTGGTACAACTCTTTATAAGTAACAGGTGATCATTCTAATTAGACACATTCAATCACTGTGCAGGTACACTCCCACAAGGAGAGAGAGAGAGAGAGAGAGCGAGAACCCGCATTACACTCAAATAAATACACAAATCAATACAGGTCAAATACAAATCTTAAACTCGAATAAACTAACAAATTAATACAGATGAATAATCACTCAAAATATTCAAACAATACCGAAGACCGATGAAAAAATATACACAATCCTATAGAAAAGACAAAATCTTCATTCAGCCCAAAAGGTGACAAAGTATTTAGAGTATAAATTCAAAAACATTCCCCTTTGTAAAAGTTTCCTCTCAAAACCCCACTAACATTGTGTCCCATTTTGTTAAAATGAGATTCTATAGGACTGCGTTCAGAATATTACTCTGATGTTCAGTAATGCGGGTGCGTAATGATCTAGAAGTTTTACCAACGTAAGCGAGACCACACGGACAGCGAATAAGATAAATCACGTGTAGATGAACAAGTAATTGTACCGCGTATCAGTATGTTACGACCAGTGTGTGGATGGATGGCTGAAAGATTTACATTTAGGCCTATATGTAAAAGTACACTGGGCACAATTGCCGCATCTATAATTACCAGGAGGAAGAGTAAGAGTGACAGGTTTCACTACACTAGACGGGAACTCTAGTCTTACAAGCATGTCACGCAGGTTACTTTGACGTTTAAAAACCAAATGGGGGCCATCCTTGAAAACATGAGACAATTTAGAATCACTAGAAATAATATGCCAATGCCTGTAAAGAACCTTACGAAATTCTGCACCTAATGCTGAATACCTAACCGAACAAATAGGGCTATTGCCTAGTTGTGTTTTATTGCTCGTAGCACGTAGACACTGTGTTTGAGATCTACACTCTTAAAAATAAAGGTGCTTCACGGTGCCATAGAAGAACCTTTTTGTCTAAATGGTTCCATAAAGAACCTTTAACATCTGAAGAACCTTTCTGTTTCACAAAAGGTTCTTTGTGGCGAAATAAGGTTCTTCAGATTACAAAAAGGTAAGAAAGAGATGGTTCTTTAAACAACCTTTGACTGAATGGTTCTTTGTGGAACCAAAAATGGTTCTTCTATGGCATCGCTTGAAGAACCTTTTGAAGCACCTTTATTTTTAAGAGTGTATCATCAAATTTACTCTTAGCTTCTTCGATCCATTCCCTACGATAACCACGATGTAGAAATCTTGAAGTGAAATCAGCAGACCATCGAGCGTAAGACTCTTCAGTGCTACACACTCTGCGCACACGCTTAAACTGGCTAATAGGCAGGCTTTTAATAAGAGGTTTTGGATGGAAACTATCACCTCTTAAAATCGTATTATGATCCGTTGGTTTACTAAACAATTCAGTTTGAAGTTTACCCTCAGAGATGTGTACCTTTACATCAAGTAAACTGATATTCTCTGTATCACACTCCATAGTAAACTTCAAGTGTTCAGTTCTAGAGTTGAGATAATTCAAAAACAGCAACAATTCAGCGGGTGTAGAATGTGTTATCATAAAGATGTCATCAATGTACCGTTTATAAAACATTATCTTAGGTAAAAAAGAATTTGATTTATTTAAAATTAACTCATTTTCAAATACACCCATATACAAGCAGGCATAATTTGGTGCCATTTTACTGCCCATTGTTGTTCCCTTCACTTGTATATAGTAATCATTTTGAACCGAAAGTAATTATTAGTCAAAACAATGTTTATAAGATCCAGCAAACACGCACTATGTTTTACTCCACTCTGTCTTTGTTTTAGAAACTGTTCCACCGTCCGTAAGCCACCTGCACAGTGATTGAATGTGTCTAATTAGAATGATCACCTGTTACTTATAAAGAGTTGTACCAGTTCACGTAATTTGTGCCTGACGAAGACCTGATGGTCGAAATATTGCAGCAATAAATTATTTTTATGAAGCAGTTACATCAGTGTGTGGACAATACGTTTGTATTTTTGCTATAGTTTGACTTTTTTTTGTCCTGCACCTGAGCGGGTTTGTGGGATGTGCGCAACTTTCTTACACTTTGATTTTTCATATCAATGACTAACCATCTCAAATGCTGATTACAGTATGCATTGGGGGCCTTTGCCAAAGACTAAAACCTGCATTTCTTGTTTGTATTTATCCTCATTTTGTAGGATGGGAGCTGCAGGTCCAGTGGAGACTGCTTATTTGCACTTAGCCTACTTGGAATGGTGATGCTGATCCATACTATCACTCAGGACTATGTCATTTAATCAGGCTCTGTTGTTATGTTGTATCTGGAAAAGTTATATTGTGTTTGTTATATTATATATATGCTTAAAAATGTATGCTATATTTTATGGTGTGCTTGTTTTGTGTAGATATACTTTAGTGTTATAATGTGTAAAACTACTTAAGCACTGGCTTAAAGTGCCTATAAAGTAAAGTTTGTCTGCATCCAAATACATATACTTCCCAACTTTATAGTAAGTGAATAACAGTGAAAAGAGTATGTTGAATTCACAGTATTTATAAAACAGTAGGCAAAAGGTACCTACTTCCGGTAAGATTATGAAGTGCACATCTAATGTACACTTTACTATCCCATGAGGCCACCGGAGAGGAGTTGTGAATGACAGTGAAGATGCGCAAATGACGCTGGCAGGTCACATGACTACGACAACATGATGAATGCAGTATGAAGTAATCAGGATTGAATTTATATACAAAACTAGAACATACTTTTCTAACAGGCCAGGGTTCCTCAAATCTTGCCCTGGAGGTCCAATGCGCTGCAGAGTTTAGCTCCAACCCTGATCAAGCTCAGCTACCTGTGATTTTCTAATGATCCTGAAGACATTGATTAGCGTGCTCAGGTGTGTTTGATTAGGGTTAGAGCTAAACTCTGCAGGAAAGTGGATCTCGTGGGCCAGATTTGAGGATCCCTGAACTAGGCTATTCAAAACAAGTACCTACTCAGAAAGTATGCTATTTTTGGACACTGCCATAGTATTATAATATCAGTAACTCAGTCAATTGCGTGACACAACTGGTCAAGTGATCTCACTAGAGCAGGGCTGTCCAAACTGGGTCCTGGAGGGCCGGTGTCCTGCAGAGTTTAGCTCCAACCTTAATTAAACACACCTGAACCAGCTAATCAAGCTCTTACTAGGCATAAAAACTTCCAGTCAGGTGTGTTGAGGCAAGCTGGAGCTAAACTCTGCAGGACACCGGCCCTCCAGGACCGAGTTTGGACAGCCCTGATGTAGAATAAAACCAGTTCATTTAAGTCTATTTCCTAAAAGTGCTCTTCAATTTTTCCTTTTATTAGTTTGCTAAATAAATAAATAAAATAATACCGAATGCACCTTTACAAATCAGTTATCTAATAGCCCAAAGGCTTTTGACTAAGCAATAAAACCTAAACCAACTAAACTATACTAAATACATTTAAAATCTTAAGCATATTTAAGTTTGTTTGCTAGCAGTCACATTCTACGTCTCTATATTCTGATATAGTTGTTTTCTTGAGGCTTTTCTACCAAACAAAACCGACCTGAGTGAGTTTCTTGTCTATGAAAATAAAATCAACTGCAAGTAGGTTAGTTTCCTCATCCAGGCTACCGCTGTAAAATGGTCTAAATAAATAGTACTGCAAGATCCGTAATCCTCTGACCTGTAGACCCAAAGCTGCTTTTGTGGCATGTTTTTGAAAGATAGTGAGTGTGCTGTTGAAAGTTGCTGTATGTCACCCCTCCCTCCGCTCCACTCGTCCAATGACTGCGAATTAAGCGCAATTACTAATGCTACTACGGCTGGGGCTAAGCTCATGAATATTAAGAAGGTTGCGCTTACGTGACTTGGTAACCTTCCAGGGGCAAAGGCTTGGTTCATGCATATGAATTACCCTACGCAGGCGTTGTTCGGTGACCTTCCAATAGCGAACGCCTGCCTAATGAATATTAATTAGACACGCGCGTATTTACTGTGTTACTGTCCAATAGCGAAAGTTTACGGTATAAATATTAAAAAGCAAGGTTTACCTTAGTAGGATTCGAAATTTTGCAGTCGGGCCTCTTGAAGAGGACTGTGGGGGAGGGTCACGTGACGGGTGTACACACTGTAGAGTTCAGCACCACTCGATTCATAGTAAGATCATCAGCGTCCTCCCCTTTTCAGAACAAGCTTTGACGGACCACAGACGAATATACCATCTGTAACTGTGCTTACGCCACATATCGGCGCCTTGATCGAGCGCAATTTTACTTACTTAATTTTACACGAGGTCCTGGTAGTCTAGCTACCGATTTGGGAGCTTTTGTCAAAGTATCCGAGGAGAAATGTCAATGGAAATACAGCAGAACCCGATGCCTCCGTAGAGCTGTCTCAGTGCCAAGAACTGATCCTCTGGTGAGTAGGTTAGCCAATACCTCTCTATATTGAGTTTAAAGTTGTTTTAAAAAAAGCATTTAACCCGGTGTATTTCGTCAGCAGTGATGGGAGAGCTCGCCAAATCAGTCAGATTCATGTTTGACACTTTTTAACAGTTTACCGCTCGAAGTGTGGTTTATTTGTGACAGTTAAGTAAAACCGCAACATCAGACAGGTTAAACTCAAACGTGTAATGCCCGGATGAAAAACAAACCAATGATATTCACTGTTCAGTCAAATAAACGCATCTTTTTATTAGACTTTTCCCCGCTGTATGTGTAAAAAAAAAAGCATTTAAAGGTTAGTTTTGACATTTATGGGGATATATATATATATATATATATATATATATATATATATATATATATATATATATATATATATATTGCGTATTACATTTGAACACTAGGTCCTCAATTTTAACTTTGAATTTTTTTTCTTGAAAATAAAAACAAACCGGGGTAGTGAGTCAGTTAATGAGCTAACAAATGAAAAGTGGTAAATTGATTTTAAACTTGTGAAAGTTGCTCATTAAGTCTTATTGACTGATTAATGACCAGTGACATTTGATATGAAAAACGGTGTGTTATAGTGTAATATTTACTAAATGTAATCAAAAACGTCTTTTATTTGCATTTAAACCTCATTTGTGTTGTATGTGTTTAGAAAGAGCGGCAGATTTCGAGGTTTTCAAACATTTAATCCCATTAATTTTGTGTTAAGGAGCAAAATAAATGGAAAAGCGCATTACCATGTTGTTGTTGTTTTTCATTTGCCTGAAGTTTAGTCTCATACTATGTCACATTGGCTTATTTTGCAATATATCTGTGTACAAATGATGTTGCTGGGAAGTGACATCGGACTTCTTTTTTTTTTATTGCCTAAACAACCAAAAACCCTAGAGAGTCTACATTACCGTTGGATCAGGTCCATGTAGGACTTGTAAGAGGATGGCAGTGTGCCTATGCTTTCTGTTGAAGATCGCAGACGTCATATGAGACAGCTGAGAAAAGCATGCCTCTTTGCCTGAAGACACTAGTGAGTGCTTTACTCTCCAACACGGTCTGGACTGTCCAGCTGGACATGAGAGGATTACATAACCTGTTATCCAATTTTCTCATACAGTTGTCAACTTTGATCTCTCATGTTCTCTTCAGTGCAGATATTTCATTCCAAATATAACATTATCAGTTGGATGTAAAATCATTGGTTATTTTTATAAAAAATATTGATCTGCCCCCAGTAACTCACAATTCAGCATTTTCAAGATATGATGTACACACCAAAATGTAATGTTCGCCAGCAAAGTAATGCATAACCAAATTGTGCTATCCAAATCATCCGTGTGTGTGTGTAACCAAGAATGCTCTTGCACCGAGAATTTGTTTGTGTCGGTTCAAGACTGCCTAGCTGGCGATAATCCATGCACGTGGTACGCAAACACCCAGAGTGATCTCTCCTGCTGATGACTTTACAAAGAAGCGCTGAGAGAACATGCCGTCCCAGGGGTCAGGCCAACTGAGGTGCTGTCAGGAAGACTAATACAGATATGTGCCAGAGGTTTAATTGAGACATTGTTTGTTGGTGTTTCGCAACTTCAGGAAAGTATTGCAGGTCATCGTTTGCCCTGTTGCTTGTAGGTGGTGAAAAGAATAAATGGGGCTGCTGTGGGAGAATGAGAGACTGAATTGGGTCAAGGCAGTGTTGAATAAAATTATTATGATGAAGAATGCGTAAGGTCCCTTTGCAACACCCACACTTTCAAGCCAGACAGACTTTAATTACGCACTCACAAGGTTGAGTATCCATTTATTAACTTACATTTTCAGCTGATGATTTAAATATTTTTATTTGAATATTTATCAGGCACACTTTATACAAGATGACCACTACTTATTTCTGCCTGTCGCAATTGGCAGAAAGAGGGCTGCTAAGTTAAAGCACTGTACAATGATGGAGAGGCACAAGCATTTCCTCACCTTCATGTCATTTCGCAGTGTAAAAAAAGTCCTGTTAAATTTACTGTTAAAAAACTGGCAGTTGTTGTTGCCAGAAATTCACTGTAAAAAAATGGATGACTTTGTTTCTGGTATTACAGGATGGTATATTGATCATACATCAGAGTAACAAACATACACGACGCTAAAATGATGCAGTAAACAGTAACTAAATAACAGAAGATATAACACAAAAAACACAATGTAGCCTACTATTAAAACTATTTATATTTATAAACTGGTTATTTATTTTTATAAACCAAAATTAAATCTATATAATGAACTAAAACAAAAGTAAATTTAAATATAATTGTATGTGTTGTGTATTGTGTAACACAGGGACTTCTGGGAAAGTTTCTGTTTTTCACAATAAATTATATGGTAATTCATAGTTTTTACTTCTGAAACCCCAAAATTTGGCAGAATTATTCAGTAAATATAATATGATGTTAAATCATTTACAGTTCTTCTCTGTTTTAGTCTTTTAAATATTTTTTTTTACAGTGAATCATTTTTATGTGTGAAATTTTGAAAAATGTCTCACTTGAAATGTCTCGCAAATTTTTTTTTGTTTGCATCATTTCTATTTACAAAATGCAGAACCCTACATTTTTGACTGTAGATACTTGTTTTTCCTCTTAGTCTGCTTTCTGTTTTCTAAATCCTTGCAGCTGAAACGCAGAAGTGAGAAATCTATTGTAGCACGACATTATTTGACTGCAGAGTGCTCAGTCCTCATCTTCATTTACTATTTGTTGCCTAAACCCTCGCAGCACACACACACACAAAGCTCAGAAAATGCAATCATGTGACATCACTCAGCCGATTCTGAGAATTTGCTGTACATTCCAGCGGGGATATGAGGGGTGTGGAGCAGCCCTCTTTTCATCTGCTCGGCGGTGGGTTGATTTCTCTGAAAGTGTCAAGTGCATTTAGTTTTACTCCCACAGCACTTTTCATCCAGATGCAAGGTCAGCCAAGATGTCTTGTTGTTTGTGTGAGGGAGGTAGAATTAATAACAGGGGTCATTGAGAGGTACACTGTGCGGTGGAGTTGATGGACACTTACCTTTGCAGGCATGCTTGCTCGTGTATGTGAGCCATGAGCTGAAAGCGTTAGAATTAGAACGGCTCCCTAAATGACACGCTTTACAGCAAGCCGTGATGTCAGCTACCTTTTCACCCTTTCAAGAATGCTTTAGTCTGCCAGCCTAGACAATGTTTGGTCATGGTCTTTTGAAAGAGACAAGATGCTGCAAAGCAGGGATGCACAGTAAGGATGAGCAGGGTGGTTGACTATATCAACCAGCTAGAAGATTACTATGATTTGGTTTTAGATTAAAAAAAAAAATTTCTAATCTAAAAAATGTATAATACCGTTCAAAGGTTTGAGGTTGGTAAGATTTGAATACATTTATTCAAGAGAAAAAAAGAAAATTATTTTATCTAGCAAGGATGCATTAAATTAATCAAAAGTAAAGATATGTATAGTGTTACAAACCATCTCTATTTAAAATAAATGTTGTTCTTTTGAACCTTCTATTCATCAAAGAATCCTGAAAAACTGTATTCTGGTTTCCAACATTGATTATAATAATATTCTTGAACAGCAAATCAGCATATCAGAATGATTTCTGAAGGATCATGTGACACTGAAAACTGGAGTAATGATGCTGAAAATTCAGTTTTTATTTAGCAGTGATGCTTTAATGCTAGAATCAGCAACCAAGGTCATCTAGATATACGTTTTATTCCTAGTCTATAAACATTTGCTTTTCTGTTTCTGATTTTTCAGCATCTCAAACCATAAATACTTTTCTTTTGAACTTTCTGGTAAAAAATCATAAAAAATAGAATATAGTTTCCACAAAAATATCAAAATGTTTTTGAGCAGCAAATCTACATATTAGAATGATTTCTGAAGGATGATGTGACACTGAAGACCGGAGTAATGCTGCTGAAAATTCACCATGACTGTTGTGGGCTCTTACTATAAATGACTGTCTTAAGGCTGACTAGTCAACTTATCGTTCAGACATCCAAATGAGTAGTTGATTTTGAAAAGATTATTTATTATAATTTATAAGTATTATTATAATCCCTTATGGGCAGCTGGCAGTCTGAAGACCTATCCTCAGATGAAAATGGTTCAGTGGATGAGTAAACATGGAGGCTTTTAACCGTTTGCAACTGAAACTCAGCAGTACTGCCCTTATTTGCACTATTGGTTGCCATGGTCACAAAAAGTGGAGGAAGGGAACAGGATGATGAACAGGAGGATGTTTTTAAGTGAGAGATAGGGACACAGGTAGTGGCTAGTCTTGGCTGCTCTATTGTGTTTGCTAGCATAGCAGTGAAGTCCTTTTGCAAGGTATTTTGTTTCTTTGAAAGTAATTCATGTGGAAAAGCTGACATGGCCTTGGAAGCATCATGGAGTCAGACTTTTACACCTGCCCTTTAAAAACCACATCATTACATCTTGTTTTCCCACGGTAGTCCTTTTCTCCTGTTCCCAACCTGTAGCCAACAGGACCGAGTCTCATGCCAATGAGCAAAACAGTTTAGCTTTTACAAGTTTTACCTCCAGATGAGTTTAACCCATTTAAGTGTAGACGTGAAGATATATACTGGTAGTTATATACAGGTTAGACCACAACATAAAGTGCTGCGTGTACATACAGAGCTGTTGACGAAAAAACACATGCTGGTTCACTATAGGTGTATGACTACAAGGTGAAAAGGGTAAATGATTGTCTCCACCTTCTAGCGAGAGCCATAGAGGAGCAATCCGTGGCTGCCTGTCTCCAGGCCAAAACAGCCCCTCTGTGACTGTTATGTAAGCAGACAGAGAAACACTCACTCAACAGTCATTATGTCTGCTCAGATGTGCTCAGCATTGTCTGGGAAAACTCCAGGTCTACAACCAAATACATGCACACAAAAGCAAGAGGCCTTCTGTAAGCAAAATGTTCCTAAAACTGTTGTTCTCAAATAATGTGTGTGTTCCTTTATTTATTTATGTAATAGCTGTGTGATTTGTACACACTCGGAGAGCATATTTTATAAATAATTTAGTTTTTTTTTTGTTACAATTTTGGCTGACAGTTGTCATGCAAATAATTGCAATAAATGATTTCATTCAATTGTTGTTTTTGATGTTGTTATAGGCAATATATTCTCTTAAAATATATTCTGTAGTCACTTAAAATTAATTTGGATGGGAGTATGTGTGAATGGAAAGTGCACAATGATTGTGAATATCCCTTATAAACATACTAAGGACAAATAATTGTGACTAGCACACATACTCATCGCATATAAAAAGAGCTGTTGTTCAAGGGAATGCAGGTTCAGATTTGACTCTTTCTTCTTCAACTTTCCCCTCTTTACTGTCTTTTAAATAAAAAGTCCAGAAAGCCAGTTAAATTAAATAAAACAATAATGTAGCCTGTGTGTCATCATAGGCTAATATGAAAGTGAGGCTAGTGCTCACATTGTGTTCAGGGAGAGCGTTATGTCATTATGTTTTAATGAGTGGACTGCAGAGCAGTTCTCTGCATGTGCCCGCGCTGTGACCTCACTCTGAACTCAAACCTCACACTGTGCATCCACTGCACCCTTGACATGTCACATCTCATGCCATAAATCTCCATGCCTCACAGTCTCAGAGCTGAATTATGCCATCCTTTGGTCACAGCACGTGCATTGTCCCCGCCCAACGAGCCAAGGTGCTGAGCTGTAGAGGTGGAACCTATTGTTATGGAAAGAAATGCCTGATGACATATAATGCTGCTCCTTTTTTGGTACAACATGAACCTCAATGGCACGTGGTAACTGAGATGAAATCCCTGGGTTTAGGGTCTTGCTGTCTTGGTTTAGGGCAGGGGTGTCAGGCTAGCAGGGCCCCGGCCCTCCAGAAATTGAGTTTGACACCTCTGGTTTAGGGTCTTGCTACATTTGCGGTGTTTCTTCTAATCTAATGGTCATGCCATGCCTGTGCTGTTTATGCATGGTTTCAGTTTTCTACTCCGTGTGATGGTATAACATCAAGAAGGTTTTTGCAAAGCCATTGATCAAAAAATGCACTAAAAGCATGGAAAATGCTAATATTTAGCATTACAGGTGCACTGTGTCATTATAGGCTGTCTGTACATATCAATGGCTTATAAAGTTACTCTGTGTAAGGAATGACCACCATGCTGAGATCATGTGATTAGCTGTCTTGCCATTTGAAAAAATTTGCACAAACCTGCAAATGTTCTTTTAATTTAGCAGTTTTCCAGAGTACATCAATATGTTATGTTGCAAATTTCAACTCAGTCCGCTTTTAATAAATGCTGTGGTAGCTCCAGAGCTGGTGGGGGCAGTAGATAGCTTAATGTTATCGGATCAGTTGTTTAGAAAGACAAGCCATGTAATTATTTAGTGCACCTTTAAAATACAATTTTAATTAACAGTTGATCACAGGAGAGTATCTGTGAGCTATTCATCATCTTGGTGTCTAGGGGTGTCACCAGAGGTGCGCAGTCCTGCTCCTAGAGATCCACCTTCCAACAGAGTTTAGCTCTATGCCTAATTAAACACACCTGAACCAGATAATCAAGACCTTCAGGATCACTAGAAGCTCCCAGGCAGTGGGTTGGAGCTAAAATCTCCAGGAAAGTGGCCCTTCTAGAGCAGGATTGGACACCCCTTATCCCGTCGGTTAATAAATGCATTTTTTTAATTTTTAACCAAACCAACCCATTGATACATTGCTCATTTCCTTTTTTACAGCTGATTCAGAAAGAAGGATCGGACACCTTTGGAAATCTAGAAATGTGGAGCTGCATGGTTTACAATGAGACGAACGACAGCGTGGACCTCCGGCTCTGCCAGGACTTTGGACTCATTCTGTCCATCTTCTCTCTTGTGTATCTCATCGTCTGCTTTCCATTGGGGCTTTGCTACAATGCCCTGCTGGTGGTGGTTAACCTTTCCAACAAGGTCACCATGACCATGCCTGATGTCTACTTTGTGAACATAGCCATTGCTGGCCTGGTGCTCAACTTGGTGGCTCCAGTAGAGCTTCTGGGGCCCAGTTTTACACGCTGGCCCATGTGGGAGTACAACAACGAGCTCTACATTACCCTTCTCATTCTCTTCAACATCTCCTCTCTGGTCATCATGTACTCCACAACCTTGCTCAGTCTGGACTATTACATCGAGCGAGCTCTCCCACGCACTTACATGTCCAGTGTCTACAACACCAAGCACGTTTGCGGCTTCATCTGGGGCGGTGCCATTCTCACCAGCTTCTCTTCGCTGCTCTTCTACGTGTGCAACCACGTCTCCACTAAAATCATCGAGTGCTCCAAGATGCAGAACAAAGAGGCGGCTGACGCCATCATGATGTTCATTGGGTACGTGGTGCCGGCAGTGGCAGTGCTTTATGCAGTCGTGCTAATCCTCCGGATCCGGAAGGAGTCCACCCCTTTGGACCAGGACTCTGGGAGGCTCGATCCATCCATCCACAGGTTGCTGCTGGCCTCCGTGTGCATGCAGTTTCTTCTATGGACTCCATACTACATGACCTTACTGGTACACACAGTGGCCGGAGCTCCTGGGAGCCATTCCAACAGGCAGCACCTTACCACATACTTCTTCCTGAGATGTTTATCTGAGCTGCTCGCCTTCTGCAGTAGCTTCGCCATTCCCCTCATGTACAGGCAAATGAATAAGAACTTTTCCCATAAACTGCAGCGGCTTCTGAAGAGGCTGCACTGCGGGGACCAATCGTGCCCTCACGAACGCTCAGCAGTACAGCAGGTGGTTACATGAAGGCTCGTGTCCAGTCAGACCTGCTTCTCCCTCACTGGCACTTACTCCGAATCCACAGAAGTAGAGCCAGCACATGAATCTGGATATATATTGCGTGCTGAAAGGAAGTATTTGCTCACCACAAGGAGTGGTATGTGTCTCTGTGAAATTGTAGAACCTCCGTAACATTTAACGACTTAACTTTATTTGTCCATCTCTGCGATGAATGGGCGACCAAGAAGAAACCACTAAGTGCTGTTTCTGTGTAAGCTATGTCTATTCTTTGGGTTCTTGGGCCTGAGGAAAATCTCAAACCATCTGATGGTCCTTTCAGTGGAGGGGGGAAATGTTGAACGTTTGTAATCTGTTACAGGATATGTGGCATAGCCTTCTAATGTGATGCCTTTAGACCAACCTATTCCCTTTTAGCTCAAGGCTATATTTCACACCAGGCTGTCTGTGTTGTGATCCACAACAGCATAAGCTCTTCAGTCTGGATTGAGTTTTCTGGTCACACTTTCTATAAAACCTCTCTGGTAGATGCTAGTAAATGCAATATAATTACCTCAATTTCACACACCAACGGGCATTACATTGGAATGGTCTAACCATCTTTTACAGCACTCAGAAATAACCCAATGAGACTGATATCATGGAGTGGGAAAGATTGTGTGTGTTTGCGTGCTGGTGGTTGTGAGTGTGTGTTCTCGAGTGCTTGCTGCTAAGGTGATGTGCATCATAACTGCACAGCTGTTCAGCCATATTAAATTCAATCAAATGTGTATAGCTTATTAAGAGGAAGCTATAGAAATGATCCACTAGACAATGGATCACAGTTTTAAGGTCAACTAGTTAGAGATTTAATCTTTATTCAATACCTTTTCAATCATTAGTCTGTTTACTACTGTAATTATTATCCGTGCACCATGAGGAAGTGGTTAACAATTCATGTTTCGAGATGTGAATCCAAGTCGCAAAAGTCCAGTTGATACAATCAAATATATTTGGTTTCATTTAACAGCTCTATGCAGTAGATTATTCGGTAAAACCGCTCAAATTTGTACTGGAGCATATACAGTTGATTTCTGAAAGTACTGATCGGACTTCAGTGCTTCTAAGCGATGAATCACATTGGGATAACATTTCCTTTCTGGTGCGCATATTTAAAAGAGATTGTTTTTATTGAGATTAGTTGCATGAGCGATTTCATTGTATGCATATATAGAGAGATATGCATCAATGCTCTCAGTCTGAGAGAAAATTGTAGACGTTTCCAAAAAATAATACTCAGAGGCAGGATGAGAAATAGTACAGTTTAAGCTAGTAAATGGTGTTATTATCGAAAATGTCTTTACTCTTGTTTTTCTCGAGTCAGTGGATGCAAAATTAGTATATATTGGAGAGAAAGCACTGTATGTGAATGGAAGAGTGAAGAAGTGTCATTTGAATCCACTCATGTTTGCAAAGGAAAGAATGTATTTAAAGTCATGAAGGGGATTAAAATCAGTTAACCCTTAATCATAAATGATGAAACAGCATCAAATCGCAATGTTATGGCTGTTAGCGTGCTAATGCCAGTATGTATCATATTAAGAATGTGAATATATTGTACTTCAGAGATTTACTGGGAAAAAAACATGCCATTTTAGATTACAGTATTATTTTCTCAGAGATTTATTTAGATACTAAAGTGTCATTCATCCTCTGTCCCATACTGAGTCAAAGACTTGTTCAATAAACTAACATGAATATAATCCTGCTTGGCTCTTCATTGATTCCCCACATCTAAGAACATCACAGCTTTCCAGATGACAAATGATGAAGCTTGTTTTGGTTTGCATCAACAAAACAGGTATGGATGACTACACTCACTCATTCATACCAACAAAAAGAAAATAAATAGTTTATGCCACAGAAGACAAAACATATTTTTCTTGCTTGGTACGAGCCTTAGAATAGTGCCAGGGCCCAGGAGCAAAACCTGCCTTTGGCAGAAACATTTTGTTTAGTTGCCCATCTGCAGCGCAGCAACATCCACAGACATTAGTACTGTGAAAGACATGTTCTGCTTGTTCTTCGATTGACAACTGCCTTCATTTCTGAAAAACGCATTCTGTAGCATAATGAACTCTTTCAATAACAAGTTGAGTTTGGCTAAGTTCAAGTAACTTGTTAAAGGAAAATGCATTGCAAAAATAATTATTGTATAGAAGAAAGCATTTTCAAGGGGACATCGGATGCCCATTTTCCACAAGTTGTTATGAATCTTTAGGGTCTTGCCTTGTCAAAAACAGCTCTGTTCACAGCGACTGAAAAAAAAACTTGTGTCCACACACTGCTAAGAAACATTTATATGCAAACACCATGTAAAAGTGAAGTTTGCATCCGATGTCCCCTTTAACATCAAAAAAGGACTTTATTTTATTGCCTTTATGTATGAAAGTCAAACATTTTTCGTTTAAACAGGAATACATCATTCCAAACCACCTAAATGTTTGTAGAGTAAATTGTAAAGAGACTGTCCAGTGTTGACTATTTCAAATAATCTTTACCAAGCGATTCGCTTAGCTGACCTAAGACGCTGCAGTGTTGACGCTCGCAGAATAAGAACTCACCTGGGTTTTGTTATATACTGACTCACAGTGGGGGTACCTCTAGTCAACAGTGTCAGCGGTATGTGTGTGTGTGTGTGTCTGGAATCAAGCGAGCTTGGTCAGAGTGGGAGTAGACCGAGGGGCCCCGTTCAGGCCGCAGCACTGTGTGCAGTCTCTCTGAAGTGCCTGTGGCATCCCCAAACCAAGCCACAAAACTCCTTTGAAAGAAGAACATTCTAGACATTCTGAGAATTGTTTTTTGCTTCTGAACACCGCCAGCGCAACATATCCGTCTGTCACAACACAAGAACAACATTGTCTAATATGGAACAGTGGATCCACGGTGAGTATCGGAATGTTAGACAAGGAACGAACCAGGAAACATGAACAATTCCATGTTGTTTGGCATAACACTCCCAAACTTTATCGTAAGTGTATTTCTTCAACTATTTTCTTTTTGTTACATGAAGGTCACATACTTGGAAGGCTCACCATACTTGAAAACATTTTACCATACCTTCATTGTTTTGTTTTATTATTTTTTTTATTTTACACAGAAAGAAATCAAGCAAGACAATAACATTATTTTATTGTTTATTTATTTTATTTTATTTTATACACACTGGATGAAATCAAATGAGACAATAATATTATTTTAGTTTAGTTTTAATTAAGATACGTTATTGTTTTATCCATGTTCTAATTGTAAATATACAAAAGCCATGTTAAATAAGAATTACATTTAAAAACTGACAAATCTAAACAAAGACAAATCATTTATTTATTTATTGTGTGAATTGCAAGTTTAAAATGTCATTTCTGTCATTTGACTAGAAGACTAAATTAATTGGTGAATTATCCATATACAGTGGGTACGGAAAGTATTCAGACCCCCTTAAATTTTTCACTCTTTGTTATATTGCAGCCATTTGCGAAAATCATTTAAGTTAATTTTTTTTCCTCATTAATGTACACACAGCACCCCATATTGACAGAAAAACACAGAATTGTTGACATTTTTGCAGATTTATTAAAAAAGAAAAACTGAAATATCACATGGTCCTAAATATTCAGACCCTTTGCTCAGTATTTAGTAGAAGCACCCTTTTGATCGAATACAGCCATGAGTCTTTTTGGGAAAGATCCAACAAGTTTTTCACACCTGGATTTGGGAATCCTCTGCCATTCCTCCTTGCAGAGCCTCTCCAGTTCTGTCAGGTTGGATAGCAAAGGGTCTGAATATTTAGGACCATGTGATATTTCAGTTTTTCTTTTTTAATAAATCTGCAAAAATGTCAACAATTCTGTGTTTTTCTGTCAATATGGGGTGCTGTGTGTACATTAATGAGGAAAAAAAATTAACTTAAATGATTTTAGCAAATGGCTGCAATATAACAAAGAGTGAAAAATTTAAGGGGGTCTGAATACTTTCCGTACCCACTGTATATGTCCACTGCTGGACATGGTATATATTAAATAATTATACCTGAAAAGTCATGAAGTTATAAGAAAGTTTATTTTCCATAGAGCCAAAATTTTCATTGTTAAAGAAACACCAGTAAATGTGCAACTGATAGTGTCTGTGAAAAGCATTACAGACATATATTTTGTGTTTGTAGTCATTTTATTTTCAATAGATCCGTCAGCCAAAGTGTTCTTGACTGGCCACATTTGTGGGGATGAAATTTGAGCTTATCCAAATTGAGGCACCGTTGCATTAAGAACAGCCCTTTAATCTACTTTGAAAGGGACCCTTCATAATCATGTCACTGCCTCTGCATGCCTTTGCTTCATATATGCATGTTCAAACTCTTGTTTTTGCCAAAGCATGCAGAAATTGTTTTGTACACACAACCTAAACAAAACCCAAATTTGCTGGGTCTGCTAAATACAGAACTGTCAAAGCACAGATCCGCTCAGATGTTTTTCATTTTTACATCTGTATAGAATAAACTACATTTGGACTGAATAAAATAATGGATGCCTTTCTCCATTAATAATTCAAGAAGGGCAAATCAGAACCTAACAGTTCACCTCACAAGCACGAGACATAATCAATACACTTTCTCTTTTTGCAGCAATTGATGCCAACCTGGATATTTACCTCACCTCACACATCTCTCTGGAATACTTGATTCTGATTGGTCAATCACTGCATTCAGTGGTCAGATATTAATATTCACATCTGTAGCAACACTATAAGGCACTGCTTTCACATCTCACCACTGACTCGCAGTTTCATGTTTCATACAAATGTAATCTTGTGTCACAGTTATTGATTGTAGTCAAAATTACCTCATAGGATTTCAGTATTTAGATTACTGTAATATTGTTGCAGCGTTTGCTTGTGTCTAGGCTGTTTGTTTTGTAAATTGTAATTGACAATTGCAATATATTTTTTTCTTAGTGAAAGACATCACAAAATCAGAATGGACAATTCTTATTTTTATGGACTATTGCAGTGTTTATATTAATGATCGACCATGGACAAAATCAAGTTCCTTACATTTTTTATTTTCTGAGAAGCCGATTTACTTGGTTATATGTCACAAAAGGGAAGAACAAACGACCACAGTTTCTTTTTCCACTTTAATTCCTGGCTAACTGTACATTATTCCATATATTTCTCATGTGCTTTATCTTATGATGTTAAAAACTTTTTCTAATCACTCAACAGGACGTGCTTTCTAGAGACAGGTGGATGAGGCAACCTCCCCCACTAAAATGCTGAAGCTTTACCCAGAAATCCACACCTGCATGCAAGTTCAACATCCTGTTGGTATGTCCTGCCCAAAGCGAAGGCAAGCGACCACGACAGCTTTGTTTTTTTAGTAATGTTGAAACAGCCGTGTTTATTCTCTTAATGGAACCTCTCATCATTCCAATGGCCTCAAAACATGACTTCACAGTTTCCTTAATCTGAAAGACTCTAAATAATTAACTCAAAATCCAATGGCAAACAGGCAAGAGGTTTGCACAACAGGTTTTAAATCCCACGTATTGGATAACATATCCCGAATAATATTCTAACTCCAGACATGAGCTCAATTTACCCCTAAGAAGCCAGGGTCTCTAATGTTCTCTGGTCTTGTTTCAAAGTAAACTTGGGTTGAGCTTAAAAAGTAATTGTTTTGCAGACCCCAGCTTAAATCGGCCACACTAGACCACCAAGGTTGCACATTTGGTTTGTCTCTTAAAGGTTTTGCTGTTTGACTTGGCTCTTGCCCAGATCTCTAACAAAAATTAGGACAGCGATTCCTTTTGGAAGTTCAGGGTCACATCAGGCAATCCAACTCATTCAGTTACTACATTATGGTGAAACACCATTTTGTTTATATATATATATATATAAATACAATGACAGCCTGACTAAAAGATTTAAAACTGTCAAATGGGTGAAGTTTGACCCCTTTTCTATCTGTATGACATTATAAAAATGGGTCAGGAGCTTTGTATTTACATGTCTGGTTTACCCAACCCACCTCTATTCTAACCCCGATAAGTGCGGGGAAATGGGATGGGTCAATTCAGTCATGGGACCCAGATTTACCACTCTTTAGATAATGTGACATGAGCTCAATTTACCCCTAAGAAGCCAGGGTCTCTAATGTTCTCTGGTCTTGTTTCAAAGTAAACTTGGGTTGAGCTTAAAAAGTAATTGTTTTGCAGACCCCAGCTTAAATCGGCCACACTAGACCACCAAGGTTGCACATTTGGTTTGTCTCTTAAAGGTTTTGCTGTTTGACTTGGCTCTTGCCCAGATCTCTAACAAAAATTAGGACAGCGATTCCTTTTGGAAGTTCAGGGTCACATCAGGCAATCCAACTCATTCAGTTACTACATTATGGTGAAACACCATTTTGTTTATATATATATATATATAAATACAATGACAGCCTGACTAAAAGATTTAAAACTGTCAAATGGGTGAAGTTTGACCCCTTTTCTATCTGTATGACATTATAAAAATGGGTCAGGAGCTTTGTATTTACATGTCTGGTTTACCCAACCCACCTCTATTCTAACCCCGATAA